TCTTTCTTTATTCCTTTTTTTTTTTTTTTTAGAGTGGGCAAGGGTAATCTAGAATTTGAAGTTTATGTGTTCCACAACAAACTCAAATTAATATAGAATAATAACCGAGTTTATAATAATTATTTATAAATATTTAACGAATTGTTAATATATATAAAAGGTCTTGACAAAATTTATTAAATTTACTAATACGTGCAGCAAATAACCACGGCAGAGTCTTGCCAAATTTCGGAAGAGTGGAGTTTCTAACTTTCATGTGCAGCATGTTGTTTACTACTATGCTTAGTTAATAAATAGTTCGTCAAACGATGTCTGGGACATAACAAATCTTGTAAAAAGTAGTGATTATTATATCTAATAACAAGTTGGTACCCAGAATCTGAAGCAACCCATTTAAATATTATTATACCTTCACTGTAATTCCAACTATTATTTAATATACATAATCGTGCAGTGAAATTTTCTGCCTGTTGAAGACAATAAAATATTCCTCTTCACTACAGCTTTTCTTCACCTTATAAGGGCCTGATGTTTTTTCTTATTTTCAATATAGAAAGAAAAAAAAAAGCTAAAAAGAAAAATATAAAGACAGAGGGAGTCAATTAGATTTAGCGGTTGGCATGTCTCTTTAAATAGAAAAAAAATGAAAAAAGGATCCACCTAACAAAACATCAGGTGTGCCTAATGTGTCATGAGGGTTTGAATAATTACCCAATATATGTTAATGTGCTACATATACAATTTTGGTCCAACTCATAATTAACACGCATTTAAATATGTTATTTTTAATTTTAACTTTTAATATACTATCATTTTATCATTAGTAATACAAATATCATGGCATATCTAAGACACAAATTTCAAAAGTCTGAACTTTTTATTAACTCCGTACACTTAATCAATTAGTTTCAGATAAATTAAATTTGAGGTAATAGTAATTGTTAATACTTAATAAGTGTTTAGACATAGATTTGTTTGAAACTTGAAAAAATGAGTTTTTAAAGATGAGAAGAAAAATAATTTTTGAAAATTGAAATTGTGTTTGGACATGCATTTCACTTGAAAACACTACCATCCAAATGCCCATTTCCTACATCATATATAATATTTTAAAGATGGTATACCACCAAATTAACATAAAATGAAAAGAAGAAAAACTTTATACTCCAGGTGAAAATTACTACAGCTTTCAAAGGCCTCGTTTGTCCATAAAAAAAAAAATTGGTTCAAAAATGTATTTGTCTATGAAATTTTACAAGTTTTTAAAAATTTTTTAAAAATGAGTTTTTCAAAAACCAAAAAGTGGTTTTGACCACTTTTCAGAAAAACTTTTTTTCCACTCAAAAAACTGTAATATTTTTTTCCAAATATAATTTCAAGTATCAGTTTTCAACTCAACTCCAAATATTATTTTTTTCAAAAATTATAATTTTTATGTTGAAACGCCTACTAATATGAAGAGAAAATATGGAAAGAATTAGAAGGGTAGGAAAGGAAAAAAAAAAAAGAGCACGTGATCTCACGTGGCATAAGTATAGCCTTTAGCTGGACTATATATATAGTGTTAGGGAAGGTGGCTAATTTCTACATCAATCACAGCTCGCTTATATTCCCACTCCCCAGCTGTCACCCACTTGGCCTCTTCAAAGTTAGGCATATTCCTTTCCGATCAAAATGTATTTTCAGCTTCTATTTTATAAAGTCAATAAATATATAATAGTAATATTTTTAATGCAAAATTATTAATTAATTATGATAAATAATTTGTATTTTTTATTTAATTCTTAATTATTATGGTTAAAATATTTAATTTTGTGTAGATCAAATATGAATAACTATTTACTCCCTCCATTTGACCCGTCAACTCCTTTAGTTCCTTACCTAAAACCCTGTGCTCCAGGATTTCAAGTTTTGCATTAATATTATATAACTTTCTTGTACAATCAGATTAAGTTGATTTATTACTACACATTTTTTAGTGTAAGTTTGATATGATGATTAAAAAATTAAATAACAACAATATAATGGGTTCAATCTTTTAGTAACAAAATAAGTTAATTTAGATTCTTAATTCAATAAAGTATTTACCATCAGTTATCAAATTAAATTATCAAATGATGCTTTGAATGATCAATTGATTACGAAATCAATTAGTCGTCTTAGAAATGTTCGGTGTGAGCTACATTCTTTTTATTTTATTTCTAGTTTTTTTCATTTGTGTTATCTGATGTAAAAGAACTTCTGACTTCTCAATGGTTATTATATAAATAAATATTAGCACATACATGAATCACATTATAGAGTCGATAAAAAATGTCTAATACGAGAATATTCTGTTAAATTTCCTTGTCAATTTGGAATAGTTCAAGGATATACATATTAGTCGTTCGCCTGTTCAGATTTAGATAT